GTCATTGTTAGCTATGAGTTGCTGCACATCAACAAAGAGACTCATGGGCCTTTTGTTATCTTAAGTAGTTGGCAGTAGTCTTCTGATTTTAGTATGAATCGTCAGCCTCTTGAACTGTAATTTCAGTATGAATGTTCCTAAGCCTTTTAAGCTAAATACGGTCACCAGAACAGTATTAATTATCAATTTTTCTGAGAATGAAGAACCTGTTGTCATCAGAACAGTTATATCGGGAGGAAGAAGAGGGTCCTTGTGTGCTGTTATAGCTGTCACCCTCTTCCACTGCCCCTCCATGTCCCTTAGACATGTGCTTTTGTGATCTGTCTCTTTCAAAGATAACTGCATGCAGCAGGAGTTTCTCACTTCCACTGCAAGGAGAAGCAGTCAGCACAGGGCTCTCCCCTGACTCTCTGTCCAAAATTTAGAGGACCTCGGATTTGATGGTCCAGTTTCTTTCTTACATAGGCTGTCCTGCCAGATTATGTAGATCATTCTGTAACTCATGTTACAGTAGAATTCCAGTAATTCTGGGTTGGGCACTGTATATTTTTTGTTACAGTTGTCCGTTGACTACAGTGCATTTTGAAAAACAGGAAAAAACTTGGAAAGCAGCAATTGCAATAAGTTCAAGTAATACTCATAAAATGTTGCTCTGTTCTAATTATTGTGGCAACAGTAACAAAAAAAGCAGATGTGTGAATAAATATGCACTAAAAGGAATGTTAGTTCTGAAATGCAGAGATACATGCAGGAGCACTTAATGGCATTTTAAACCTTCTTGGAGAAGGATCTGCTTGCTGTATACACTGACACCATCTTACTGTTATTTCCCTTGTCGTGCAGAAAACATTATTTTCACCATGATCAGTTGGACTGGGATGAGCACAGCTCTGCAGGCCGGTATGTCAGGAGACGCTGTAAGCCTTTGAAGGTAGGAGACAGCATTTTTATTGCTCTGTTGGATTGCACTTGTGAAAGCTCTCTCTAAAATACCTCCCACTTTTTTCTTTCAGGAATTTATGCATTGCCAAGACACAGATCATCAAAGTCTGTTTGACCTTGTTCGCAGAATGCTGGAATATGACCCAGCCAAAAGAATTACTCTTGATGAAGCCTTGCAGCATCCTTTTTTTGATCCATTAAACAAATAAATTCAAAGATCTTCTATGCTTCTTCAAGGAGATTTCCTAGACTGTGTCAGTCAGTCAGCAGAGGTTGCATGAAACTTTTGTAAGCTTTAAATTATTTTGTACAGCTAAGTCTGTAAATAATTACATATGTTTTGTATAACTGTTAATGTTTACCTTGTTGAGCAGTTGTAGTCTTATGGGTATCAAAGTGAAAAATAAAAGTAATTTTCATTTTTGAAAACCTGTACCACTGTCCTTTTACAGATTATGCTGGTGGACCCTCTGACTATAGRTAAGGAGTCTGGGCTAGCTGGAAGAGTTCTGGAAATATTCCCAAAAAAGCTTCCTTTTATTAGAGAGAAGGAAAAGACTCACCTAGTTATGCTGTGTAACAGTTTGATGGCACTCTGAAACATGGGTGGAAACACTGTATATCTTAAGTAGCTTTTGTGGGTCTGCTTTTTTCCCAGATTTTCTGTTACATGGTGTACATTGCTCCCCAGCYAGCTAATTAGCACTTGGAAACTTGTCTGATGGTTTCAGTGCTGAGTATTTATAGCTAATCTTTTTAGTTAAGGTCTGAACAGTAACATTTCCTACTTTAAATGTTGTGCTCAGTCCTTAAACATGAGCATTTTTGTGATTAAATTTTTAGAAGGACTATGCTGCTGCAGAGAACTATGGCATGCCACAAAATTATGGCATATTTAAGCCCTTGAAGTAATAAGGAGAGCATCCTGAARTCTTCAAATGTGCATTTCTGTGGCTATTGATTTGCAGTTACTGGTAAATGACGTGACCTTGGGGACTCAGGARCTGAGGCATCAAGATTGTACAGAACAGTGGTGTCTGGGTTCTCAGTTGTGACTCTGAACTCAGGTACTGGCTTGAAAAAGGAAATTGTACAATTTTCCAAGACCCGTTAATGTACTTTRGTAGTTTATGTTCTTCCATGTTTCAAGTTGATGGCTTTTTATCATACTCCAACTCTCTTAATCCATTTGGCACCATAGGGGTGGCTTGCTGAGTAGTAGGGAGGGAACCTTCTATGGAAGGGTTTATTCAGGCTGCAATAAGCAAGTTTGGATCATTTATTTCGACCTTTACTGCACAAGCCTTTCTTCAATGGAAGGAAACAAAATTATTTCAGCTCCACAGGATCCTGACTTCAGGTTTTGTGCTAGCTGAGTTAGCCCTAATGCACAGTAAGATTTCAAACTGATGTCCTTGTTCCACTGCTGTGAAAACTTCATTTGCAAGAGGTTCCAGACTTGCATATCTCTGAGTTGGGGGTAAAATAGAGCTGGGACAAGCTTTGAAAGCTTACCTGCTGTTACCAGTGCCACCTCCTGGGCTTCATTGCAACTCATAGCCACCTCCTTTCCTTGGAGGATGACATTGTTTCTGCTCTGCATGAGAACATATAACACTCTGTTCCACACAGGTCAGCTCAGTGGGGTTGAGCAGGACAAGAGTAAATTCCTTCTCTTCTCCCCACAGTACTTTCCATCCCACAGCTTCAGAGGCAAAGCAAGGCCTTGGCTGAGTATATCAGCTAAGCAATGCAAATCAAAGGCAGATGGGGGGAGAAAAGTTTATGTGCTGCTATAACAATAAAACTAACCATAAAACAGTTCTGTCAAAATTAGGGAAAGATGGTGTRCTCTTGCTTACAGAGTGCTTCTAGCTGTTGATGTAGGTACTGAAATGTTTTGTGCTTGCTAAAGGAGGTGCAGCTTAGCCCTATTAAAAAGCCCTGTTTAWACTGACTTTCCTCCTTCCAGTAAATTTAAAAGCACTGTCAGGATTAATGTGGCATCTGCAGCAAGGTGCCAAGTGCTTTTGAAAGGCCTTGCAGGATCTGCATGAGTGTTGGTTTGCACATGTGTCCAGGCCCCTGTAATCTTTACACGTTTCAATCAAGCTCTAGCTATTTAATTAGACGAGCATTCACATCTATTTCTGCACTTCAGATTTTCAGCTGTTGTACCTTCAAAATAYRAYCTACRAGTGGATGAGCCAGGCAGACCAGAYGAAAAATGTGCATTCCATAATGAGCCAGTCACACTTTTYACTAGTCATGGAGGATAGGATAGGACAGAATAAAGCTATCTTTTAAGTGAACAGCCTCTGCTTTGTCGCTGAAGTGCAAAGAGCATACACAATCCAGAGCTTCACGAGCTGGTCCAAGTGGGAGAAGCRTGCTGGGGGCTAAAAAGCATTAGGAAAGGGGTTTGAAGGTCTGGGGCAGGARTTCAGCTGCTGCAGGAGTGGTCAGTCCTGCCTCTTTCAGTGTCTGGATATCAGAGCTACCAGGACAAGATGCGTTGCACCTGAGCATCTCCCTGAAAATGATAGCACTCTGCGTGTTCTGCCGCTCTCACAGAGCTTTTAAGGCAAGGCCTTAAAGGCCCATCGAAATGAGAGGGGGAGAAGGAGGTAGGAAAGAGGGTCTCACAAAAATCTGGAGATKCCTTTTTATCTTCAGGCTCTGTGAGAGAGCAGGAACTGGTTGTCAACAAATGCTATGGATTCACCTGGTTTAACTGCTTTGGAAATAGTAGCTACGTGAAGCCTGTGTACATCCACCACGGCCGTCTCACAGTGTACATGTGTGTGTTTTATTAACACACTTAATCAGAATCTGACACTGGTAATGTTACTGACATTGTAGCATTTCCTAACTCTCCTAGGCTTTGATCATCTAGATTCTAGAAGTAAGAATTTCTCAATTCTAGAAGTAAGAATTACTCCTCGAAGGGCAGTGCGTGTGTCCTGGAGGCAAAGGGTACATTGGAATTTGTAYACTCTGTGCATAGAATCTAGAGAGGCATTAAATTACAGGAGGATGTTTTGTAGGTAAGAGTTGTGATGCACWGTGTGAGTTACAGCAAGGAAAGGTCACTACAGAATACATGGGTGCTCGGTGCTTGTCTGTGAGCACAGTTTTCTCCCATTTAAAGGCTCACCAAAACGATGGAGCACTTCACTGAGAGAGCAGTGCATTACAGTGCGTGGTGGGGCTCCAGGTGAGGTCTCTAAACCAGCTGGCGGTCCGGACGGGCTGTAGCGCAGGAGGTACAAAGCTCCCGGCCGGGTGACGCCTCTCTCCGGTCGCCCTCTCCCGTTGGGGGGAGCCCGCTGGAGGGCGCCCGGTCCGCGCCCGCCGCCGCCCCCTCCGCGGGCAGCGCTGCCGCCGGCACCGGAGCGGGCACCGGAGCTTGCACCGGAGCGGGACCGGAGCGGGGACCAGAGCTTGCACCGGAGCGGGGACCAGAGCTTGCACCGGAGCGGGGACCGGAGCGGGGACCAGAGCTTGCACCGGAGCGGGGACCGGAGCGGGGACCAGAGCTTGCACCGGAGCGGGGCCGTCCCGCCAGCGCCACGCGCCCCGGAGCGGCTCTCGCCGTGCTCCGCCTGTGCAGCACCCCGGGGGGCGCGGAGTCCTTGGGCGGGCGGGGATGGAGCCGGGGGAGCGGTCCCCGCGGGGGGCCGGGCAGCGGGGGTGGGATCTGCTCCGCGTAATCCCCCATGGGGGCCGGCGGGCCGCGCTCGGAGCATCCCCCCTTCCCCAGCGCGGGGGGAGGCGGCGGGGGAGCCGCCACCCCCCGCTTCCTCCGTTTAAGACCCGGGCTGGCGGGGCGAGCGCAGGAGAGCGGCCGCTCCGCAGCTCCGGCCCCACGCCCGCGGCGCGCACGGGGCGGCGCTGGATGCGCCGGCGGCGGGAGGCGGGCGGCAGC